CCCCATCATGCAATGACTGTTTCTGGCCTTTTTTTTTTTTTTTTTTTAACTTCTAGTTGCTTCCAATCCCTACCCTTTAATATGTAAGTCTAGAATCCTCTTCTGTAATCACTGTCTTCATTTTGTCACTCTGAGTTCAGTAATGGCAGTTTCATGCCTTTCTTAAATACCCATTTTAAATCCTCATTTCTCATTACTTTTCACCATAGATTAGCTATTTAAGTCAATTTGTGGGCAATGACCCACTATCACTTTATCTAAAACAGACAGGCAGCTGGTGTAGGAGTTAAGTGGACTTTTGGAGTCAAACAGAGCTAGGTTCGGTTTCTCGCTATATGAGTTTGGGCACGTCACTAACACCCCTGAGCCTCAGTTTCCTCATGTAAAATAAGCATAACATTCAACCTAACAGGATTGTGGAAAAGATTAAATAAGACAAGGTATGAAAGGAATAGTAATGTTCAAAAGAGTGGGAAGAGAATAAGCAACTTCAGACTCAGTATATTCATTCATAGATTTATTAGATATTGTAAATGTATACAGAGCCATAATGGCATAGTGGTTAAGTGTTTGGCTGCTAACCAAAAGGTCAGCAGTTTGAATCTGCCAGCTGCTCCTTGGAAACCCCATGGGGCAGTTCTACTCTGTCCTATAGGTCGCTATGAGTCGGAATCTACTTGACTGCAACAGGTTTTATGGGTAAATGTATACATATATACCTACTCCCTAGCTAAGTACTAAAATCAAAAACGATTGTGTTGTGATGTTCTGCTCCTTGATCTGGATGCAGATTGCACAGATGAGTTCAGTTTGTGAAAATCCAGTACAGTTATATGTACACTTATGTATACTTTTCTGTATGGATAGTGTTGTTAGTTGCCATCGAGTTGGCTTCGACTCATGGTGACCTTCTGTATAACAGACCGAGACATTGCCCAGCCCTGTGCTATCTTCATGATCATTGATTTGTTGGGGCCCATTGTTGTGGCTATTGTGTCAATCCATCTCATGGAGGGTTTCCCTTATTTTCGTTGACCCTGTACTTTACCAAATATGGTGTCCTTTTCTAGCAATTGATCTTTCCTGATGATATGTCCAAAACAGTTATAACAGGTAGTAAATCCTCCAGTCAGCATACTGTCTGTTATGTTTGCAATTTACCCAGCTGAATTAATGTACTTTTATGTATCCAGTTTTATCACACACCATTGTCATTTTGAAATTTTTGTACGGTTAGATTTTTTTTTCTTTCTGAGACAGAAGCTCACTATGCTCTGATTCCATGCTGAGACGGTGGGTACCAAAACTCACTGCTGTCAAGTCGATTCCGATTTACAGCGACCCTACAGGACAGAATAGAACTGCCCCATAGGATTTCCAACACTGTAAATCTTTACATAAACAGACTGTCACATCTTTCTCCTGAGGAGCGGCTGGTGGGTTCTAACCACCGACCTTTTGGTTAGCAGCCGATTAAGAGATGTGGGTAGGGGATGTTATAATGAGTGGAGGAGGACATGCGCCCCCTCAGGCTGTTACCCTGCTCTCCTATGCTCATGTACTGACAATAAAACTTTATTTCAAAATAGAGTAATCTTCAAAATAGTTGTTCTGAGTGCTTCTATTTTGCCATTTGTGTATATTGGGGTCATCATTGCACAAGTAACAAAATGCGTGCAGTCAGGAGGAGTTTACTGTAAGGATACAGAGGTGCGTGAAAAAACCTAAAGACAATCACGCGACAGCCAGGACTCCTTCTCCCATCACTGCTTGTCTCTGATCACCTGCTTCCCTCTTCTCTCTTCCAACCAACTTTCTCTACTTCTCTGGTCCACGAGGTGATATGTGGCCACCCCCGCCTTCCTGCATTCACATGTGTATCAGTTTCCTAGGGCTCCTGTAACAAAGGACCACAAACTGGGTGGCCTAAAACAACAGAAATTTACTGTCTCACAGTTCTGGAGACTAGATGTCCAAAATCAGGGTGTCAGCATGTCTGTGCTTTCTCTGAAGGGTCTGAGAGAAGATTCTTCCTTGTCTCTTCCAGCTTCTGGTAGCCCCAGGTGTTCCTTGGCTTATGGCAGTGTTACTACAATCTCTGCCCCTGTCTTCACGTGATCATCTTCCCTCTGTGTCTCTTCTCCTCTGCGTATAAGAATACCAGTCATGTAGGTTAGGGCCCATTCTACTCCAGTCTGACCTCATGCTGACTTAACTAATTACATCCACGAAGATCTTATTTCCAAATAAGTCACATCCAGGTTAGGACCTAACATATCTTTTTCAGGGGGATACAATTCAACCATAATAGCATGTTACAGTAAAAATTCAAACCTGACTCTAAACAGATACAAATATCACTCAATTTCAATTCCAAATTTCAAGACAGAAGCTACCTTTGGCTCAACTTGGGTCAGGTGTCCTCTCCTAGTTGAGTTATTATGTACATGGTGGGGGTTGGGCAGTATAAATGTGGCTGACAGGGCTAGAGTAGAATTGGGGGTAAGGGAAGAGGGGAATTGTTTCTTGTGAGCTAGGCAGATACAACAACAGGAATCTCTTTCACTATCTGTTTTGGTACTTTTTTTTTGCTGCTACTATCTTTTCATCTTCCTCTCCATTCCTGAAATTTTTGTTGTATTCTGGACTTTTGTATTTGTTTTGAATGGCAGTCTGGTGTTTGCCATAAAAGCATGATTTCACTTTGAATATGATTTCATTTTGGTGGATGCCCTGCTAATTTATCATGTAAGAACTACCTTTACTGAATATCTTTTTCTATGACCAACTTTAGTCATTCCTCCAATTCCCACATTCCCATCTGTGTAATACAAGCTGTCTGGTTTACCATAGATTCATGTTCCCTGATTCTCTCATTCACTGATACCAGATAGAACTCTTACATTGTTCCCTCAATCTTCTTCATCTTGGTAAATGGTACCACCATTAAGCCATTATTTGCTAAAAACCTAGAGTTCAGCCTTGATTTGTTTTCTTCACATCTCAAGGATACCATCAAATCCTGTCAGTCTACCTCTGAATTATAACCTGAATTTGACCATTTCTCTTCATCTTCACTAAACTACGGTCCTAGTTTAAGCCATCGTCTCCTACCTAGACTACTATAACTCCTTCTAATTGGTCAACCTACTTCTGCTACCTAAAGTCCGTTTTCCTCACATCACCCAGAGTGATTTTGTAAATCTTAAATCAATTAGATCATATTTATGCTTACATCCTACAATGGAATCCCATTAAAAATAGAATAAAAGAAAAATTCTTTTATATGTCCTAGGATGTTTAACATATTCTGGCTCCTTCATACCATCCCAGTCTCTTTGCGTATCATTTTTACTC